GTCCTTCTGGATGATGTTGGCAACTGCAGGCTGTCTGACCTGGGGCTGGCCGTGCAGGTGCAGGAAGGCAAGCCCTTCACGCAGAGGGTAAGTGACGCTCTCTGCCCCAGTGTGGGGAAGGCGAAGGGCTGCTTTATTCCCAGGGGGAACAGAGCCTTAGAGCAATTCCACTCATTGCTTTTCCGAAAGCCCTTGAGTTGTCATTGGAGCTTTACGTGTGAGTTGAACTTGGTCTATGCTAAACCTACAGTCAGGGTCTAGGTATTGACCACTAGTTACCACCTCTCGGTGCTACGTTCCTGAGTCAGAAAAGCCTTAACTGGATAAGAAAAAGAAGGAAACCTTAACATGTAGCATATAAAAGTAAGGATCTCTTGTTGAGTGTGGAATGGGGATTTATATTGGATAAAGCTGAAATTTCAAAAGAAAATATATTTTAAAATACAGAGGCAATTGCTGTTGGTTTGGTTAATTTGTTCCCAAGTGACTTGTAGAATTTTTTTTTTAATGGAAATATTAAAGTAGGAAGGGAACACAATGGATTGTGGTAGGTTATATGTGTTTTGGTATCGTTACTTACCTGCGGGGATTACAATCGAGATGGAAAAAAAAATGTGCAAAATGATGTAAAAATAAACTTTTGTAATAATTAAAAAAAAAGTAAATAAAGCCAGTTCCTTCTAAAAAAAAAAAATACCCATTTAGCATTTAAAGTGTCCATACTGTTTTGGAGGTTCATCCGCAATGAAATATATATCAGTATTTCATTTCTTTTTATGGCTGAGTAAGATTCTATTGTATCACTGTTCTGTTTCATTTATCCATTCATCTTTTGATGGACACTGGATGTTTCCACTTGGGCCATTGTGAATAGTGCAGCTGTGAACATTAACATACAAGTATTCATTTGAACACCTTTTTTCACTTTCTCTTTTAAATGCCCAAGAGTAGAATTGCTGGGTCATATGGCAATTCTCTGTTTAACTTTTTGAGGAACCACCATGTTCTTCCACATTTTACATTCATACCCAGAGATGCATGAAGGTTCGATACCTCCACTTCCTTGCCAACAATTTTCTTTTTTAATAATGCACCCCATGGAAACAAAGTGGCCCCTGGTTGTGGTTCTAGGTTCTTCTTGAGAATCCTTCCTTCTTAGAAGGAACATGTCTTTTAGGCCTCCCTGGTGGCCTAGGGGTTAAGTCTCAGCACTATCACTGCCATGGCCTGAGTTTGAACCCGAGCAGGGAGCTAACCCACATAAGGCAGGGCAGACCTCTCCTGTCTCAAATGCTGCCTCCTTTCAGCAGTGTGTTTCAGTAAACCCATCTATTCTGTTCCCCACTATGTCTCTGGTGAATCCTGTCACCCTCTCATACACACACCTCTGGCCTACATTCCAATTCTTCTTATACAAAACAACAACAACAAAAAAGCAGCGTTTTTTTTTTCACTTTGTCTGATTTCTACCCCCTTTGCCCCCTTTATCATCCACTCTTTTTCTCCTCTCCAGTGCATTCTACTTCAATCTTCCTCTCCCTTTCTTTCTTTCTTAAGGTATGTGCCGTCCAGGTGAAGAACACTGGTAAGATGTATGCCTGTAAGAAACTGGACAAAAAACGACTAAAGAAGAAAAATGGTGAGAAAATGGCTCTCTCGGAAAAGGAAATCTTAGAGAAAATCAGCAGTCCATTCATTGTCTCTCTGGCCTACGCCTTTGAGAGCAAGTCCCATCTCTGCCTGGTCATGAGCTTGATGAATGGGGGCGACCTCAAGTTCCACATCTACCATGTGGGTGTGCGAGGCCTGACCATGAGCAGGGTGGTGTTCTACTCAGCCCAGATGACCTGTGGCGTGCTGCACCTCCACTCCCTTGGCATTGTCTACAGGGATCTGAAGCCGGAGAACGTCCTTCTGGATGATGTTGGCAACTGCAGGCTGTCTGACCTGGGGCTGGCCGTGCAGGTGCAGGAAGGCAAGCCCTTCACGCAGAGGGTAAGTGACGCTCTCTGCCCCAGTGTGGGGAAGGCGAAGGGCTGCTTTATTCCCAGGGGGAACAGAGCCTTAGAGCAATTCCACTCATTGCTTTTCCGAAAGCCCTTGAGTTGTCATTGGAGCTTTACGTGTGAGTTGAACTTGGTCTATGCTAAACCTACAGTCAGGGTCTAGGTATTGACCACTAGTTACCACCTCTCGGTGCTACGTTCCTGAGTCAGAAAAGCCTTAACTGGATAAGAAAAAGAAGGAAACCTTAACATGTAGCATATAAAAGTAAGGATCTCTTGTTGAGTGTGGAATGGGGATTTATATTGGATAAAGCTGAAATTTCAAAAGAAAATATATTTTAAAATACAGAGGCAATTGCTGTTGGTTTGGTTAATTTGTTCCCAAGTGACTTGTAGAATTTTTTTTTTAATGGAAATATTAAAGTAGGAAGGGAACACAATGGATTGTGGTAGGTTATATGTGTTTTGGTATCGTTACTTGATAACAGTACAGAAAAGGGGGACTTTTATACCTCTAAAACATGAAGTTGGGCCTCTCTGGTGACCTACGGGTTAAGTCTCAGTGCCCTCACCACTACAGCCTGAGTTCGATCCCCGGCCAGGAAGCTGACCCACATGGCACAGCAGACCTCACTTCTTGCCTGCTGCTCCCCTCAGCAGTGTACTTCAGTCAGCCCACCTGTTCTGCTTCCCACTCTGTCTCTGGTGAATCCTCTGCCCCACCCCCACCCCCACCTCTGGCTTACACCCCAATTCTTGTATGCATAAAAAAAAATAATTTTTTAAAGATTTATTTATTTATTCAGAACTGGGTACAGGCCAGAGATGTGGAGGGCGAGAGGCTTCACCAGACACAGAGTGGGGAGCAGAACAGGCAGATCGATGAAGTACACTGATGAGGGGAGCAGCGGACGGGTCAGGAGAGGTCTGCCACGCCATGTGGATCTCCTCCAGGGTAGGCGCCGGGGTTGGGGGGGTGGGAAATCTTCTTAGTGCTGTGTTTTAACCCGCTACCCACCAGGGAGGGCCTAAAAATAAATATTTTTAAAAGTAAATAAATAAATAAAATGTGAAGTTATAAATCGGAGTTAACTCAGTTAAAAAAAATTTAATTATAATTTCTCATTGTGTTACATGAACAATACAAAAACTCTGGAATTCTGATAATTCATTATTATAAGTTTCACACAAAGGTGACAGATTCCCCAGGAAGATGAGGGCTCAAGTCGGGTTCTTAAATATTCACATAAGACTTTATTTTTATGCTGTTTTGCAACTTACAAGGCAAAAAATCAGTCAGACAAGATTTGTAGCATGCAGATTACAGCAGCATGGAATCCTTTCTTGTGGGGGACAAGGAGCCCTTGGAGGTTCTAAGTATAGGACTGACATGAGTAAATCTGAATCTTGAAGGTCGATGAAGGCAGAGGAACTAGTTAGTCAGCTAATGAGTAGTCCAGTCTCAGATGATGATGGTGACTCATCATATAAGAAGGCAGGATTTAAAAAAATAAATAAATAAATAAAAAAGAAGGCAGGATTTAAGAAATAGGAGTAAATTAGAGCATTTGAAAGGAGATTTTGATGGGGTTTCAAGGCAGCTGGGTATGAGATAAGGGAAGGAGAAGGTCTCTAGCGCCAGTGCCCAAAGGAGGAACAGAGTTGGCAAGTGATTACATTACACATGAGGTTCCTAAGCAACAAGCAGGTAGAGATAATTGGTGGACATTTAAATTTAAGGGTCAAGTGCTGTGGAGAAAGGCCTGGTTTAAAAAAGGGGTTTGCAGTCATCGTGACTTGGGGAAGCAGCTGGTACCATTGATTCCCATGGAAAATAGTGTTGAGAAACATAAAACTGGGGGGTAGGGGGGGAAGGTCCTTGAAGCAATTAAAGAAGTAGGATGAGGGGCAGGAGCGGCATAGTCACAGGGGTTGTATCAGCTAAGCGTTGATTTCAGCAGCATATCATAGATCAAGATCAGTGGATCAAGACAGAGCTGTAAGACAGAGCTGTATTCCTGTTGTGTAGTGAGTAGTATAAAAATAAGCAGTGTCTAGCATGAGTTCAGCATCTGTAGGATGAGGGATTGATGCCTCTGTGGTTTTGGCCTTTTCCATCACAAGATGGCTGCTCTAGCCCCAGCCATCAAGTCCATGTTCCAGGAAAGAGAAAGACGAAAGGGCCAGGAACAATTGAGCATGCATACAATAGCTATGTGTGCTTCCTTTTGTGAAGATTTCCAAGAAGGTAACTTCCACTTGAATCTCCGTGGTTAGAACTGTTATCTGTTGGTGAAGCTGATAAATGACATGCTTGGAGGGTTATTCTTGTTATAGAAAGGAAGGCTGGGTATGGAGCAGGTAATGAGCAGCCTCTGCATGGGAGCTCAAGGAAAAGAGGTGATGCAAACTGTAGAATTCGGCACTGGGAAGTTGGGAG